TGTAAGCAAAGGATCAGCGATCCTGTGTTATTGTTGTTGCCCATTGTGTGCAAGCATACTTTTTTCGCTTTGTGTATATGTATTTATTTTTGTTGTTGGTTGTTGCATATCCTTTTTCTGTCAGATTTATTTTTGCTATCTACCCAGCTACCTACTATTCATCACTTTTACTTTACTGGTTGATGGGCTGGCAGGCTTGCATATTTATTTTCTAATATTTTGGGAAATTTTCGATTTGTTTTTCTTTGGAAATTTGAAAAGCAACAACCTCTGTTGGAAACTTTGAAATTTCCATGAAAAAACAAACGATCGCAATTAAGGAGGGTGGTCTGGAAACCTCAGGAAAAAATTTTCTATAGAAAAAATTATTGGCGGAACCTCAGTTCCCAATTTTTTTTACTATAGGAAAAATTCGCAGGACCACAAATCCATGTTTTTCCATGTATATAAAAAAATCGGGAAAATTTCCAATTTTTTTATAGAAAAAATTCAAAGGACCCCAGGTCCGAAATTTTTTCCCACAGAGAAAATTCGGCGGCACCTCAGTTACAATTTGTTTTAAAGAAAAAAATCGATCGGAGTCCATGTTTTTTATAGAAAAAAATCGGAGAACCTCATGTTACACTTTTTTCTACAGTGAAAATTTCAAGGGACCTCAGGACTGATTTCATTATTTTTCCCCTACCATTTTCATACCCACCCTCGTAAAGAAAATCAATATTTTTTTCAACCGCACACAATTTGTGATCTAAGTGTTCGATAAATTCTGCTGGTTAAAAATACCCGCTCACATTTTCTCAAACACACTTCGATTGAAGGTCAGCTAAACAAAGGATGAAGTTTTCAAGGTCAGAATTTCGATGCATAACAACAAACATATGGAAACACATACAAATAAATTTGTTCGGTGTGACCTCTGGGAAAAGTGTATTGGTGAGGGTGTGTGCGTGAGCAGCATCCTACTGAGTTCGCTGTGAGTTCTACGTGATTTCATGTGCTGTGAGCGATCAACCGATCGATCTATCTTTCGTTCGACCAATTGTCCATTTGGCAAAAGAAATTGTTACGCTTCATTTGTGACATGTCCAATTTTTGTGGTCAGTCATGAAGGGGAAGGGGGTGTTTCTCAGCTATTTACTTTGTAATTTAAGGAGGGTGGGTATTGTCTCTTTTCGAAATTTCGCTATTTTTCTTAAGAGGAATTATTGATTTGTAATTGAGGTAATTGAATTGTGAAAGAGACCAAGGAAAATAATGAGAAGAATTTTCTCAAGGCAGTAGCAGACAATAATCTTTAGAAACTGAGGAAAAAATTATTCCGATTTTTTCTAAATATTCCGATTTTTTTCTATACGAAAACAATTACTCCGATTTTTTTCTACACGAAAACAAGTACTCCGAATTTTTTCTATACAAAAACGACTACTCCGAATTTTTTCTATACGAAAACAATTACTCCGAATTTTTTTTCTATACGAAAAAAATTATTCCCAATTTTTCTCTATACGGAACAAATACAAAAACAAATTATTCCAATTTTTTTTTTCTATACGGAAAAAAATTATTCCGAATTTTTTTCTATACGGAAAAAAATTATTCCGAATTTTTTGTTCTATACGAAAAAAAAAATTATTCCGAATTTTTTTTATACGGAAAAAAATTATTCCGAATTTTTGTTCTATACGGAAAAAAATTATTCCGAATTTTTTTTCCAAATTTTTTTGTTCTATATGGAAAAAATTATTCCGAATTTTTTGTTCTATACGAAAAAAATTATTCCGAATTTTTTGTTCTATATGGAAAAAAAATTATTCCGAAGTTTTTGTTCTATACGGAAAAAATTATTCCGAATTTTTTGTTCTATACGGAAAAAATTATTCCGAATTTTTTGTTCTATACGGAAAAAATTATTCCGAATTTTTTGTTCTATACGGAAAAAATTATTCCGAATTTTTTTCTATACGGAAAAAAATTATTCCGAATTTTTTTTTCTATACGGAAAATATTATTCCGAATTTTTTTCTATACGGAAAAAAATTATTCCGAATTTTTTTCTATACGGAATAAAAATATTCCGAATTTTTTTCTATACGGAAAAAAATTATTCCGAATTTTTTTCTATACGGAAAAAAATTATTCTGAATTTTTTTATTATTCCGAATTTTTTTCTATACGGAAAAAAATTATTCCGAATTTTTTTCTATACGGAAAAAAAATTATTCCGAAATTTTTTCTATACGGAAAAAAATTATTCCGAACTTTTTTCTATACGGAAAAAAATTATTCCGAATTTTTTGTTCTATACGGAAAAAAATTATTCCGAATTTTTTGTTCTATACGGAAAAAAATTATTCCGAATTTTTTGTTCTATACGGAAAAAATTATTCCGAATTTTTTTCTATACGGAAAAAAAATATTTCGAATTTTTTTCTAAATACGAAAAAAATTATTCCGAATTTTTTTCTATGTACGAAAAAATTGATTCGGATTTTTTTTTATACAAAAAAAAATTATTCGGAATAATTTTGAAAATATTTTTTTCGTATAAAATTTATTTTTTTCCAAAATTTTTCATTTTCAAGGATAACTGTACATAATCCTTACGAGAAAAAGCCTTCATTCTCTTCATTTCTCTTTCACTTCTAAAATCCTCTCAGACATTGTCTGGGTGATAAAGGAAAGCCATGCGAATGGTGTCAACAAAAATCGAATGGGCATATGGTGAAGGAAGGCATGGAATTTTCCTTAAAGGAAAAACTTATTTTTAGAATTAAAAAAAAAAAACAACAACAAAAGCACTCAAAATGAGTGATGAGTTGATGTGTGAGAGAGTCTATTTGATGTCTATTTTAAAATGCCAAAACCTTTAGCATTTGAGAAAGAGAGGGTGGTGTAGTAAGAGAGTGAGAGAACTTGTTCTCTTGTTATCGAAAACTAGTATTTCTAAATTTGCTGTACTTACTTGAAAAGGATGATACTATTATTTTTTGGCTGACAAGGATAACACGAACAATGGATCCATTAAGTTCTCATCTCTTCTCTAACGATGTATTGTTGACTTTGCGTTTGAAATTTTCCTTTTTTTCACAACAAGAACAAAAACCTGTTGAGGATCACAGCATCACTAGATAAAATGCGAAAAAATGTATCCTTTGAAAGACGAAAAGACATTTTCGGCAAATGATGACGAAGATATAGGTTTTGGTTGTTTTGAATAGGGGCGTGTTAAAAATGGATAATAATTTCGATTATCCTGTCAAAAAGAAAAACAGAAGACAAGAGGATGTTATTCATAATTCAACAACAAAAAATGAATTTACACTTACCTTCAACATAAAAAGGGATAACAGGACAAAGAAGCTGCTGAAGAGGACGGGTTATAGGTCAGCTCTAGAAACATTGATAAGAAAGGATTAAATTAATTAAACAACAATTGGCTATTTTTTAGGGAAGGATAATGGATACTTACTGTAAGGGAAAATTCAAATTACTTTTCTATGCGAAAAAAATGTATCCATATTTTTTCTATGCGAAAAAATGTTTCCAAATTTTTTCTATGCGAAAAAAATGTTTCCAATTTTTTCCTATTCGAAAAAATGTTTCCGACTTTTTCTATGCGAAAACAAAATTTCCAAGCTTTTTTATTCGAAAAAAAATTACCGATTTTTTTCTATGCGAATTTTTTCCGATTTTTTAATGAAATAAAAAATTTCCGTATTTTTTATATGCGAAAAAAATTACCGATATTTTTCTATGCGAATTTTTTCCGATTTTTTTATGGAATAAGAAATCTCCGTATTTTTTTCTATGCGAAAAAAGTTTTCAGATTTTTTTCTATGCGAAAAAAATGTTTCCGAATTTTGTTTCTATGCGAAAAAAAGGTTTCCGATTTTTTTTTTCTATGCAAAAAAAATGTTTCCGAATTTTGTTTTTATGCGAAAAAATGTTACCAATTTTTTTCGGATTTTTATGCGAAAAAAAAGGTTTTGGATTTTTTTCTATGCGAAAACAAAATTTTCCAAGCTTTATTTATTCGAAAAAAAATTTACCAATTTTTTTTCTATGCGAAAATTTTTTTTTCCGATTTTTTTTTGCAATAAAATTTTTTTTTATTATATGCGAAAACAATGTTTCCGATTTTTTATTCTATCCGAAAAAAATAATTTCGAATTTTTTTCAATGCGAAAAAAATAATTTCGAATTTTTTTCTATGCGAAAAAAATGATTCAGATTTTTTCTATTCGAAAAAAAATTTTCGATTTTTTTCTATGCGAAAAAAATGTTTCCGCAAAAAAAATTTTTCCGATTTTTTTTTTCTATTCGAATAAAATTCCGATTTGTTCTATGCAAAAAAAAATCCGAATTTTTTTCTATTCGAAAAAAAATGTTTCCGAATTTTTTTCTATTCGAAAAAATATTTCCGATTTTTTCTTTGCGAAAAAAATTCCGATTTTTTCCTATGTAAAAAAATATTGTTTTTTTTTCCTATGCGAAATTTTTTTCAGAATTTGTTTATATTAATTACATTTTATAGGTTATGTTTTCTTATTATTATTTATTATTTTCAATTCGATTTCATCAACTTAATTTTCGTAAAAAAAACTAAATTTTTACAATTAGTAACAAAAATAAAAAATGTTTAAATTAATTTTTAACTATTTTACATTGTAACACATATACATACATACTTATTTTCAAATATATGTATAATATAATTAATTGGCAGGAATGTGGCTCTTCTAAGACTAAGGAATGCTGGCTGGCCGATGACTACAAACTAAGGAATGCATTTTCGTTTACATTAAGGATCCAAGTATTCGTATTGGTATCTCTTCGGAAGACATGTGATGATGAGGATGATGATGATCACGATTATGAGTATTAATTCCAGCTGAACAAAGTTGCAACCGGACTTTACATCGTCAAATCCTTATAGTGGACACTAATCATATGTCGTCGCAGGCAATCGTTCCGCTTATAGCTCATCGAGCATAGCTTACATTTGAATTGTCGTTCCACCCCAATACATTCCTTGGTGATGTGACGTTTCAGATGGCCACGTCGTAAGTAGCTGCGACCACATGTCATGCAGGGATAACGGCCATCAAAGGGCGGCAGATAGGCCAGCATTTGATCAAAATCTGAAGAACAAAAAATAAAAATAGAGAACTTGAGGTTTGGATCGAAAATTTTATTTAGTATTGATTTTTTTTTGTTTGTATATTTTATTTAATGTGAGTGGGTGGGGGTGTGCATTTGGTTGGGGTTAATATAAAAGCTGTCCCATTAAACTACCACTACTATATATATACTGACTCAAAACCCAGCAAAGCATACTTACTTCTATTTTTACCATTAACCCAACAAATTCCGAATTTTTGTTCTATACGAAGAAAATTATTCTGATTTGTTCTTTTCTATACGAAGAATATTATTCCGATTTTTTTTTCTATACGAATTTTTTGTTCTATACGAATTTTTATTCTATACGAAAAAAATTATTCCGAATTTTTGTTCTGTACGAAAAAAAATTATTCCGAATTTTTTTTCTATACGAAAAAAAATTATTCCGAATTTTTTTCTATACGAAAAAAATTATTCCGATTTTTTTCTATACGAAAAAAAAATTATTCCGATTTTTTTTCTATACGGAAAAAAAATTATTCCGAATTTTGTTTTTCTACGCGAAAAAAAATTACTCCGAATTTTTTTTTCTATGCGAAAAAAAATTGTTCCGAATTTTGTTTTTCTATGCGAAAAAAATTATTCGGATTTTTTTTTCTATACGAAAAAAATTATTCCGAATTTTTGTTCTATACAGAAAAATATATTTCCGAATTTTTGTTCTATACGGAAAAAAATTTTTCCGAATTTTTGTTCTATACGGAAAAAATTTTTTCCGAATTTTTTTTCTATGCGAAAAAAATTATTCCGAATTTTTTTTCTATACGAAAAAAATTATTCCGAATTTTTGTTCTATACGAAAAAAAAAAATTATTCCGAATTTTTGTTCTATACGATTTTTTTGTTCTATACGAATTTTTGTTCTATACGAATAAAATTATTCTGAATTTTTTTTCTACACGAAAAAAAAAATTATTCCGCTTTTTTTTCTATTCGAAAAAAATGCCCTCAGTGGGAACTGAGGTCTGTTCGAATTTTTTTCTATTCGAAAAAAATATTCCGATTTTTTTTCTATACGAAAAGAAAATTATTCCGATTTTTTTTCTATACGAAAAAAAAATTATTCCGAATTTTTGTTCTATACGAAAAAAAATTATTCCGAATTTTTTTTCTATACGAAAAAAAATTATTCCGAATTTTTTTTCTATACGAAAAAAATGATTCCAATTTTTTTTTCTATACGAAAAAAACGATTCCAATTTTTTTTTTACGAAAAAAATGATTAAAAATTTTTTTCTATACGAAAAAAAATGATTCCGATTTTTTCTATACGAAAAAAAAAATGATTCCGATTTTTTCTATACGAAAAAAATGATTCCGAATTTTTTTCTATACGAAAGAAAATGATTCCGAATTTCTATACGAAAAAAATGATTCCGAATTTTTGTTCTATTCGAAAAAAAATTATTCCGAATTTTTGTTATATTCTAAAAAAATTATTCCGAATTTTTGTTCTATACAAAAAAAAAAAAAAAAAAAAAAAAAAATATGATTCCGAATTTTTGTTCTATTCGAAAAAAAATATTCCGAACTTTTGTTCTATTCGAAAAAAAAATATTCCGAATTTTTTTTCTATACGAAATAAGTTATACCGAATTTTTGTTCTATATAAATGATTTTCTATACGAAAAAAATGATTCAGAATTTTTTTGTTCTATACGAACAAAAAAAATACTCCGAATTTTTGTTCTATACAAAAAAAAAATATTCCGAATTTTTTTCTATACGAAAAAAATGATTCCAATTTTTTTTCTATACGAAAAAAACGATTCCAATTTTTTTTACGAAAAAAATGATTCCGAATTTTTTTTCTATACGAAAAAAATGATTCCAAATTTTTTTCTATACGAAAAAAAAATAATTCCGTATTTTTCTATACGAAAAAAATGATTCCGAATTTTTTTCTATACGAAAGAAAATGATTCCGAATTTCTATACGAAAAAAAATGATTCTGAATTTTTGTTCTATTCGAAAAAAAATTATTCCGAATTTTTGTTCTATTCGAAAAAAATTATTCCGAATTTTTGTTCTATACAAAAAAAAAAAAAAAAAAATGATTCCGAATTTTTGTTCTATTCGAAAAAAATTATTCCGAATTTTTGTTCTATTCCAAAAAAATTATTCCGAATTTTTGTTCTATTCGAAAAAAATTATTCCGAATTTTTGTTCTATATGAAAAAAAAAATATTCCGATTTTTTTTCTATACGAAAAAAGTTATTCCGAATTTTTGTTCTATACAAAAAAAAAAAAAAAAAAAAGATTCCGAATTTTTGTTCTATTCGAAAAAAATTATTTCGAATTTTTGTTCTATTCGAAAAAAATTATTCCGAATTTTTGTTCTATATAAATGATTTTCTATACGAAAAAAATGATTCAGAATTTTTGTTCTATACGAACAAAAAAATTACTCCGAATTTTTGTTCTATACGAAAAAAAATATTCCGATTTTTTTTCTATACGAAAAAAAACGATTCCGAATTTTTTTTCTATACGAAAAAGGAAAAACGATTCCGAATTTTTTTCTATACGAAAAAAAAATATTCCGAATTTTTTTCTTTAGAAAAAAAAATATGTTTTTTCCAGGACTATTAAAGGACTTTAAAGAATATTTTTCCAAGGATAAAGGACCTAGTACTTAATACCAATAGTCAATGACATATAATAGTATTACATACATTAAATCTATTTACATAATTTGTATAAATACGACACACATGAAATAAGGACACACACACAACATATCGGACATATTCATTTGAAAACATTGAATTTATTACATACGAAAAAAGGACACACATGACTACAAAGTTTTTTTTTTTTAAACAATTTTACTAAGAACTATTTTTTTTGTACTTTAAGTGGCAAGATTGGGCCTGGAAGGCGCTAATCCTTGCTATACGTATCCATGATGGCAAATACCTTATAGCTCAATAATCGAGAAAATGTTGATTGTCAAAATCGGAATTGGATGAGGCACGAATTCGTTGATGCGGCTGATGAGTGGGATGTTGTGATAATTGTTTGCTGGCGCTGATGCTGTTGTGGTTGTTAAACTGTGGCGATGCCTCAAAATCGTTCACATACAAAGGTCTCTCCATGCTCGACGATGATACATTTGCTATGGATAATCCTGGTCCTGACGATAATGACGATCGATTGTGTTCATAATATCCTGCCGCCGTACTTATATCATCCATATAATCATCAATTGTCCGACTGCGATATGGTCCAGCCCTCACAACGTTGTGAGCCTTAAGCAGATGTCTACGCAAATCTTCGCTGCGTTTATAGCGTGATGGACAGCGGTCGCAAACGTATTTCGGTGCGATGCCAATGCATTCGTTGTTAATGTGCCGCTTCAGATGGCCCTTGCGTAAATAACTTTTACCGCAAACATGGCAGGGGTAGCGTTGTTCCGTTCCGGAGCGTTCATCATGTCGGGAATTGGGATCTACAGGTGGTGGGTTGGGTTGGTGGTGTGGGGAGAAAAATCAAAAAAGAAAAGAGAGGAGAGGTTAATTTCTGTTTCATTTTTTTTTGGAACTAAAAAAATAATTTTAAAAATATTTTTTTTAAATATTGAAAACTATATTTTATTATTTATTATTATTTAAAAAAAATAACACAAAAAAGATGAAAATTATACACAAATGATAATAAATAATAAAATAAAAATATTTTATATAATAAATTATAACATTAGAAATAATATTTAAAACTAGTTTTTATACACACATTTTCGAATACTGATATCTAGGTTTTGAAAATGCCTACAATTTTGGCCAGACAGACATATACAAATTTACAAAAATACTTTAATACTTCAATTTTTTTTTTTTTTTGAAAACACTCACGAAGTACTTACCTTCGTCCAAAAAAATATAAGTTTCCCATTTGAGTGAATTTTTTCAAAGAGTCGTCAGAGGGGAATTATTCCAGGGTGCGCAAAAATTCGCTCGCGATTGATTCATTTTACGAATGAATTTATGGCGATAAATTCTTTACCAAACGAGCATTCGCCAAAGAATGTTCGCACACACATACACATAACAAACGAGTGAGAGCACACAACAACGATCGTTCGTTTCGTTTGGTGGTTGAAATTCTTTCTGACATTCACTCGCGAATGAAAACAAACATTCCCGAATTCTCGCGGATGCTAAAAACAGCGACAACAATAACAACAAATGTTCGTGAACGTTCAATAGTTGTTGGACATGGGTTTTGTTATGTGTTTCGTGCAATGCGAACATTCGGGAGAGATTGCAAATGCTTGTTCATTCATTGTAACTTTGTAACATTCGCGATAAATTGAAAACATTCGAATTCTTGCGCCTGAGCATTCGTGAGAAAGAGCGTATTTTAATCATTCTTCGCACCCTGGATTATTCTAATGAATATTTTTCATCGATTTAAAAAATAAAAATACATTTTCCAATGATTTTTCGAAGACTAAGGATATAAAGGCCAATTGGCCGGTACAGAGACCACAGGTCTTTATAAAGGCCAATTGGTCGCTATAGAGACCACATGTCTTTACAAAGGCCAATTGGCCGCTATCGAGATCATAGGTCTATATAAAGGCCTATTGGCCGCTATAGAGACCACAGGTCTTTATAAAGACCAATTGGCCGGTATAAAGACTACAGGTCTTTATAAAGACCAATTGGCCGGTATAGAGACCACTGGCGTTTATAGGGACCACAGGCCTGTATAGAAACCACAGGTCTTTATAACCACGAATTGACCGGTATAGAGACCACAGGTCTTTATAAAGACCAAGTGGCCGGAATAGAGACCACTGGCGTGTATAGGGACCACAGGCCTGTATAGAAACCACAGGTCTTTATAACCACGAATGGACCG